GCCGTCGAGGAAATGGATGTCTAGGTAATCGCCGTCGAGGAAGTGGGTGTCTACATGTTCGTCGTCGAGGAAGTTGGTGTCTAGATGTTCGCCGTCGAAGAAATGAATGTCTAGGTGTTCGCCATCGAGGAAGTAGGTGTTTAGGTGTTGTCTACATGTTCGTCGTCGAGAAAGTGGGTGTCTAGATGTTCGCCGTCGAGGAAATGCGTGTCTAGGTGATCGTCGTCGAGGAAGTGGGTGTCTAGGTGTTGTCTACATGTTCGCCGTCGAGAAAGTGGGTGTCTAGGTGTTCGCTATTGAGGAAATGGGTGTCTAGGTGTTCGCCATCAAGGAAACTCGCCATCGAAGAAGTGAGTGTCTAGGTGTTGTTTATATGTTCTTCGTCGAGGAAGTTGGTGTCTAGATGTTCGTCATCGAGGAAATGAGTTTTCTAGGTGTTCGCCGTCGAGGAAATGGGTGTCTTGGTGTTCGCCGCCGAGGAAATGAGTTTCTAGGTGATCGCCGTCGAGGAAGTGCATGTCCAGGTGTTCGTTATTGAGGAAACGGGTATCTAGGTATTCGCTATTGAGGAAATGAGTGTCTAAGTGTTCGCCATCGAGGAATTTGGTGTCTAGGTGTTGTCTATACATTTACACGACACCCTTAATCGGGTTTAATAACATCCGTCGTTATGAAATTAGCCAATCATAGCTGTTCCTCGGAAAAATGGAATGACTGTGATTGGCCAGTTTCACGACACCCTTAATCGGGTTTAATAACACAATGAAACCTAAATATACGTACATCATATCGTATATAGATTTGATGTCAACAATTAATGCTAAGCTAAATTCCATCAAGTTAAATTTTATATAGAAGGCTGTCATCTAGATATTTTGGTATTACTATTATAAGACGATGGGGGTGGTGGTGGGATTTTTTAATTGAGTAATAGTAACTTTAATTGTATACAAACCTACCTTTTTAAAAAAAAGGTAAAAAAAGCGCTAAGCGTACGTGCTTCTCGTATGGAAACCATCATTTGAGCCGGTTTCACCAACGTCAATTACTTAATCGACCTAACCGTGGAACTGATGACTAATTGCGTTTGCTGTTTGATGAAATTCTTTGTATATGATACATTCCAACCCAAGTTATAATGACTTTATTCCCTTTCAAAAATTATTACATGAAAATCATCACAAAATTTACTAAATCTAATGATACATGTACCATCTATATAAAAGATTTGATTCCAATAATTATGGCGCCAAGTTAAATTCTG